CTTAGATATATAAAGAAACTTTTAATTATAATATTTGTTATGAGCATATAAAAGATTTTATGTTGCATTCTTATAAGTGATTGGGCTAGTTGTGTAGATGATAGAAAAAATATTTCAGGATTATGTATTTAGCCTTGGTTCAGGAGTAATTTCATGGACAACAAAAAAGCAAGAATGTGTTGCTCTCTCAAGCTGTAAGGCGAATATGTTACAACTATAAGTATGATATGTCAAATAATTTAATTTTAAAGAATTCTAATAGATCTTAAAAAAAAAAAAAGATGAACTAACTAAAATATACTGTAACAACAAATCTACTATTGCAATGCCGAAGAATCATGTCTTTCACGGGCATACCAAATATATCACAGTTCGATATCATTTCATTCGTGAACTGGTTAATAAAAGAGAAATTCAAATGGACAACAACAACATCGAGATCAACTTGTTGGTATCTTTACAAAAACTTTGACGAAAGAAAAATTTTATTTTTCTGAAAACAAATTAAAGTTATAACTATTTTTAACTAGAAGGTATTATAAGATTAATTCAAATAGTTAAGATTAAAAATAAAAGATAAAAATTTAGATTAAGATAAATAGATGAGGGAGAGGAGATTTGTTGGGTTACGATGGATTTCTTTATTGTTGAAAAAATTTATACTTTATATTTTAACTAATATAAGTAGATGTTCTCCGATGAATTCAAAGCATTATAGATTGAAAGTACTCCTCGTTTTTTCTATAAATTATGAGAAAAAGAACAAAATTTCCAACACTATGAAATAGATGCTTGATTTATTAAAAAAAAAAAACATATCCTTGAACAAGAAATCCACCTCTGAAACCCTTAATCAAAACAAAGTGAAACACTAATCTTGCTTTGACTTGAAGAATGAAGCTGATCTTCTTTTCATGCTTCAAAAGGTTTGGTTTTAATATATTAAATACATGTGAACCACCCAAGCCTTGCTCTGCGCTGGCATGCATTTAGTCAAACTATACATATACACAAGTGGAATGATGGGATGCTATTCAATACTTTTGTCAATAAACAATGCGTAGATTGGTTGAGTGAACTTAATATTAAGCATATGTTTACGTTGTTGCTTGCATCAATGTGCTCCTACTGACTTCCGGTTATGGAGCCAGTTTGGCTTCTGATTGGGGAGCACACCAACCATTCTCCATTAGCAATGTTTAAGGATTCTTATAAGAACTGAGCCGATGGGCTTTGATTCATTGGTTCTCAATCATCGGCAATTAATTCCCCCGTGTAGCCTCCTCCTAACATTTTACACACGATGGAAGTCAGGAAGAACATGGTGATATCGTCCGACCTAGAAAAGTAATCTACGTGAACTAAAAGATTTAGTTTCCAGTACAAGTTGAAGTCCTTCGCTACCGCACAACCTCAGCAAGAACACTTGGCTTCTGGTGAACATAGTTGGTATTATCATCTTTGGAACATTTTGGAAGCTAAGTAGAAACAGTTTTTGGATGTAATGGGATTTTGATGTCGCTGACATCGGTTTATCTTCATAGCAAATAATATAGGATTTTTTCTTTTCGTGAAAAAAAGAAATATTGGACATACCGAAAGTAATATAGACTTGAGAGATTCACCTTAAGTTGTTGTTAAGATCAAGGTATACAGTTTCGAATGATACCATCCGATACGGATGGTATATATCGGTTCAACAGTAAATCAGTACGTGGACCGCTCGTTATCGGACTGTATTATATATATATATATATATATATATATATGTATATATATATATATATGTATATATATATACATATATATATACTATATATATATATATATATAT